GAATGGTTCGTTTTCTCATTGCTTAATCGAAAGATACTCATCTCATAAACTGAATTAAAAATAAATGAGATTGATAAAAGAACAAGTGCATCCAGTCAAATGCTATCTTACATGGAAGAGGAGTCAACAAGACAGGAGCAGAAAGAGAGAGAAGGAACAAAGTATTAAGGTAGATGCTTTGAGGTTTTGAAATTGTACTCAAGAATGACTCACCAGGAGTCGAAAGAATACTTATTCCCAATGTTATAAATAGCGCTAAATAGCCTCGTAATAGGGTGCTAATAGCGTTTAGCGGTTCCTTCCCGCGACGCTATCGCCCGCTACGCTATCGCGCAATAGCGATGACATATTGCGGAATATGTCTATTCGCAAAAGTGGCTAATAGTGTGTCATAACGGTAAATAGTGAGCGATTACATTCGAAATTTGCTTTTTGACTGCTATTTAGAAAGCGGTTTGAGGCTTATTTTTTAAAAATTAAACTCAACCCTTGACCATTGCATTCCACCGTCTCCTGTGATTTTCAGCATACACCCGTCACCTCTCATAACTTCTGGCACCTACCTTGATACTTTCTCTCACCTCCTTCACCGTGAGCTCCTCTTAGGGCAGTCTTGTCACCGCTAAGCTCTTCTTCTCGAAGAAGACGATTTTTTGACTTCTCCAGTCATCTTCGGTATTACGTGATGGTTACATGTCTATTTCATGTTTAGGATCTCTTTAAATCATCCAATATGTACTTTTAGATTTCTTAGATTTTTCTTTAAATTTTTTTTAGTATTTATACATATCTAAATTAGACCGCTATTGACTTTGCGCTTTTTACCGCTATTTTGCCACAATAGCCTGAAATAGCCTTAGCGATGCCTCATCGCTACGCGACGCTATCCGCTATTGATAACCTCTTAAATAGAAACCTTTTTTTTAAATACTATAGAAGGAGAATCTAAGTTGATAGTCCTTGTTGATCTGAGGCTCAATGCATGAGTATACAGAATAATCTCAACTCCAATTAACTGTGATATGATAAAAGCAAGAAATCCTCAGCCAGCTAAACAGGAACTAAGCATGAAGGTTCATCTCAAAATACGAAGAGCCTAATTTCAAAAAACAGTGATGACAACCATAGTTTATAACACCTATGGATTTGTTAACTGTCAGATTGACTGAGCTCTCTTACAAGATTCACGTTTATCAAAGTCTATCAAAGAAGTCAAAAAAAATTCTCTGCAGGTTATCCAAGTGTCAGTGGAACAACTTCTAGCATTTGCCAAATGAGCAACCCATCACTTTGTTCCCCTGCCCAATTTATTAGTTTAAACTTTAAAAGCAACTCTTTGTGTCAGCATTTTTAGTGTATCCTCAGTAACTTTACATCATACAGACCTAATATTTTTAGAGTTTACTATAATTGTTTGTTTCCCAGCTCTTCTATGTACAAAAACTGTCAATGCATTATGAGCATTACTACGCTAAATATTAATAAGGAAGCATCTTCAAACAAATCATATGTGCTCTATGTAAAAATTTGAGCATGTACCTGTTTAGGTCCCACACTAAAATCCTCCGACCCGCGCAGCATGATGCTAGTATAGTCTCATGTTTCGGACTCCATCCCAGTTGTATAACCTGCTGCCTATTTACAAAATGTAGTATAAGATGTCAGCATTTGCTCATCATCTCAACAGTAACTAAAAGTCAACTCATGCTATATGAACATGAAATAGTTGAATACTTACTTGTGATAATCAAAGGTGTGCAAAGAAGTGCTCAGCCTGCGGAGGTCAAACAACTTTACTGTCTTATCAGCTGAACCTGTTGCTGCAATCCACTCATTGAAGGGATTGAATGCCAAGCAATTAACCTGCTGAAAGATGATGGATGCAGTTTTCAATCAACAACTGGCAAAATTCAAGTAGACGACATCTTTTAATTATTTCATTACAAATATTTAAGAGGCAGGCTCAAGCATCGTTTTATTGAGTCTGGGAGCAACCATCACCATCCATCGATTGAAGAAGGCATAAAAAAAGTAAGATTTCCACGTTTAAAATCATCCGGTATGGTATAGAAGAATGTGTTTATCCCTATTCTTCCCAAGAATGATGTTAAATTAGTCGTTTTTAGTATATAGATCCCAAATATTCCATATAATGCCTCTCCAATCACTGAATTTGCTTATTCTCCTTCTTGTGAACTGACACAGCATTGTTCCTAAAACTCATCTTGTATCTTATAGATGTAGTGCATTTTAATCTCAATTTTAACAAGGATGGTTCTGCACTTTTTATTATTATTCATTAATCATGTGTAGTAGCACAACAGTATGACTGTCAAGAAGACTTTAGTTATCTTGGACTGTTATTGGTCCATTTGAACATTATTTAGCAACCTCTTACACTTCTTTTAAAATAAGAGAAAAGGCAGAAATTGCATTGGAGTAATTTTCAAGCCACACGATTTGGAATCAATGTGTAACTATCCATGTGTAATCAGTGTTCAGCTTTCACCAAATCTATCAAATTCGTCCGACACCTCAACTACTGATCAAGGCTTCAAGATGAAGTTCGACCAATGAGAAAGGGCACTGATGAAGAATTAGTAGACTTGAGAAGCATAAAAACTCAAAACTAGCCTCAAGTAAAGCAGCCCAAATCTCATAATGGCCTAATGTTTTCCAATTTAGCAAAAAAGACAATATGATATAGGACAAAGAAGATTATTCTATCAACAGATGCTTATCGAAAAATCAAGAGCTCGTTCAACACACAAAGTGGAAACCCCAACCTCAGGGAGAAAGCCACTACCCAAAGTTGTTGTGAGTATGTGCAACATTTATGAAGAGGACACTGAATCAATTTCTCTATAGGATATAAAATAAAACACATTTTTACATTCAATTTGTAATTCAAGGAAAGTAGAATTAAACAAAACTTCAGCGTAGAAAACAATCAGAAAAAAAATGTCACCAATTTGATTTTAACTTTTACGTTTTAGAATGAAAACGAATGGTGAGAGAAGTGATATAATCCAATGCTAGGAGCCCCGACAGCGAAACAGGTATTTTTCTATGATTATTAGTTGACAACAAAGGAGGCATCACTCACCAAGCCTTGATGAGCAACTACAGACTGAATTGGCTGGTTACTTGTTGTTTCTCTAAGATCCCATATGTGCAAATGTCCATCATAACCAACTGAGCCAAACAAGTAGTCGTTCCTCAAATGCCAATCAACATCCTCTACAATACCTTCATCTGCCTATTTCACAAGAACATATTAGCTACATTGAGCAAGAAACAATTCAATAATAGTAAAACAACTCAAAGGTATTGTCATTAAAGTCTATAATAAAACGATAAAAAGATGTAGCGTTTATGAGGATATAATTGATGCAGAAAAATCATGGACCATCGCTCACAAGATTTTTCGTTTATTAGAAAATTTTCATTGTAGCAATATTTGATGTAAATTTTAGGTAAGATTTCGTTGCAGTTCATTGATTTGATTTTAGGATTTTTTAGGATCTCTGATATTTTATTATGTCAGGGATTACAGCTTTCCTTTTTTTTTTGCCTTTTAGTAGGATTTGGTTAGGTTTTGATTTAGTTTAGTTTCCTCTTCTATAAATAAATTTGTAATCCTCCATGAGGAATAAACCATTGATGAATGAGAATTGAATTTTGAAAATTGTTTATCCACATGGAAATTGAGCCAACTCCAACTAAAAGGCCACCGATGTGCGCGGTTAGTTGCGAAGGGGTTCTCGCAAAAGGAAGGCTGATCATGTTGTGCTCAATTTCCATGTGGATACCAAGTCCAACATGATCAGCCTTCCCCTCCACTTTCTGAAGATACCAAACCTCGCTGAAGCCCAACGATGTATCCAATGATATCCCCAACCCTCTTTGCATCCAACGACAACTTCCAATGAGCAACCGAGATTTGCTAGTTCATGGTAATTTGGCTTCAGTCTGGTTTCAGCAATGAGGATTTATCATAATGTACCCCTTGATCACCTGACAATTCCGGAGATTGTACCATCACCTTCCAGGGATGCACATTGTTTATCATTTCCACCACCTTGGCAGCAGCAGGGTGTTAGGTTGGGGGTGGATACCAACCTCCGACGACGATGAGAAGCTCCGACGAGCTCGAAGATGATGCACATGTTGACAGAGGTAGTGACCTCTCAGAAACTGGAGTTGTGCGCAACTTCAGTTGGCCTTCATGCATAGTTGATGAAGGCGGAGCCACACAGGAGAGGAGCTTGATGGGATAGCCTGTTGATGTCGGTTTGGTCTCCAAGTGGGAGATTGTTAGGTTGGGGGTGGATACCAACCTCCGACGATGATGAGAAGCTCCGACGAGCTCGAGGATGATGCAGGTGAGTGTGGGAGTCGACGGCGAAAGCTTCAGGTGAAGCTCGAACAGGTGGAGCTGCAAGTGAACGCGAGTGTCGACCTCCGCGTGCGAGCTCTCCGACCCCCGCGTTCGAGCGCTCGACCATCGCGTCCAAGGCGTTCGACCATCGCGTTCAGGCCTCCCACCTCCGCGTTCATCGCACCGCTGGCGACAGGCTGTCGCCAGCTTGTCAAATTTTCGGCTATAAAAGAGCCCCCCAAGCCCTAGGGTTTGTTGCTCTCTCCCCCCGACTTTCTTTCTCTGGCGGCGGTGGCGAAGCCCCTTAACGCAGCAGCGTTCCATCACTCAAATCGCAGCAGCGATTTTAATCCCCAGCTTCGGTTGAGGGGGATTTAAGAAGAGATAAAGAAAAAGATTAGAGAGAGAGAGAGAGAAAAGAAAGAGGGGTTTTATAAGTGGGTTGTTTAATTATTCTCAAGTGAGATTTGAAAGGGGTTTATTCCCTTTAATTATTAACACTGTAGCAACAGTGTTTATTTGAGAAATCTCAGTTTAGGGATTTGCTCTTGATTTGTAATTTCTTATTTGATTAATAAGAAAATTATCTGTGTGGCTCCCGAGGACGTAGGCAGTTGCCGAACCTCGTTAAAACTTGGTGTACCTTTTTTTATTCTGCCTTTTCGTTGCATTAGGGATTTCAGCGTTAAATTCCCAACAACTGGTATCAGAGCGTGAAACGATCTAGAGGAAGTCAGATTCAAGTGGGAGCCATGGCCGCAGATGAAGGGAAAATAAGACTTGAGAAATTTGATGGAACAGATTTTGGATTCTGGAAAATGCAGATAGAGGATTATCTGTATCAGAAAAATCTGTATCAACCACTATCGGGGAAGAAGCCGGATTCCATGAAGGAAGAAGAGTGGAACCTTCTGGATAGACAAGCCCTCGGAGTTATCAGATTGACGTTGACTCGTAATGTTGCGTTCAACATAGCGAAGGAGAAGACCACGACAGGTCTTATGGCAGCACTCTCAAACATGTATGAGAAGCCATCAGCCGCGAACAAAGTTCATTTGATGCGGCGGTTATTCAATCTGAAAATGGCGGAAGGCGCGTCAGTAGCACAACACCTCAATGAACTTAATACGGTTACAACCCAATTGAGTTCAGTTGAGATTGAGTTTGATGAGGAAGTTCGGGCGTTGATATGGAACGCTACAGTCACGGCAGTGAGTAGCTCATCGGGAAAGAAAAAGTTGAAGTTCGGCGACGTTCGTGATTTGGTTCTCAGTGAGGAGATCCGACGGCGAGAGACTGGTGAAGCTACAACCTCTTCAGTATTGCATACAGAGTCAAGAGGTAGAAATTCAACCAGAGGAAATGGACGAGGAAAATCAAACTACAGAGGTAGATCAAAGGACAGGAGGTCCAAATCAAGGAATCCAAGCAACAGCTCGAAGGCTATCGAGTGTTGGAATTGTGGAAAGACCGGGCATTACAAGAATCAGTGCAAGAGTGCACAGAAGGAGAAGGAGGCGAAGGCAGAGGTGAATGTCACCTCCACTTCAGGAGGAGACGACGCATTGATATGCTCTTTGGAGAGCAAGGAGGAATCTTGGGTGTTAGATTCAGGAGCGTCGTTCCATGCTACCTCTCAGAAAGAATTCTTCGAGAAGTATACCCCCGGAAATCTTGGATACGTATATCTTGGTGATGATCAACCATGTGCTATTGTGGGCAAAGGCGTGGTGAAAATTAAGTTGAACGGGTCAGTATGGGAGCTGAAGGATGTCAGGCATATTCCCGACCTGAGAAAGAATTTAATATCCGTAGGCCAGTTGGCTGGCGAAGGATACACCACAACCTTCCATGGAGATGATTGGAAGATCTCAAAGGGCGCAATGACGATTGCCCGAGGCAAGAAGACTGGTACCCTGTATATGACAGCAGGTGCACGTTGTTTGATCTCAGTTGCAGCAGGCAATGAGACTTCAAAGCTGTGGCACCAGAGACTCGGTCATATGAGTGAAAAGGGGATGAAAATCATGCACACAAAGGGGAAACTCCCAGGACTGCAGTCAGTGGAGATGGATATGTGTGAAGAATGTATACTTGGAAAGCAGAAGAGAGTCAGCTTTCAGACAAGTGGCAGAACCCCCAGGAAGCAGAAGCTAGAGCTCGTTCACTCAGATGTGTGGGGACCAACAACCACCGCGTCCATTGGTGGAAAACACTACTTCGTGACTTTTATCGATGATCACTCTCGGAAAGTGTGGGTCTACTTTCTGAAGCATAAGTCAGAAGTATTTGAGGCTTTCAGGAGATGGAAAGCTATGGTCGAGAATGAGACCGGTCTGAGAATAAAGAAGCTCAGGACCGACAATGGCGGTGAGTATGAAGACACCGGATTCAAGAAGTTCTGCTATGAGCACGGGATCAGAATGGAGAGAACCGTGCCCGGCACGCCTCAGCAAAATGGTGTAGCTGAGCGGATGAACCGAACGTTGACAGAGAGAGCCAGAAGCATTCGAGTACAATCAGGCCTACCGAAGCAGTTCTGGGCAGAAGCGGTCAACACAGCAGCTTACTTGATCAACCGAGGTCCATCGGTTCCATTGGAGCACAGAATACCAGAGGAGGTATGGTGCGGAAAGGAGGTAAAACTCTCACATCTAAAAGTTTTCGGTTGTGTAGCTTACGTGCATATTAGTGATCAAGGCAGGAATAAGCTTGATCCCAAGTCAAAGAAATGCACTTTCATCGGCTATGGTGAAGATGAGTTCGGCTACCGCATTTGGGACAACGAAAACAAGAAGGTGATCCGGAGCAGAGATGTGATATTCAACGAGAAGGTGATGTACAAGGACATGCACAAGACTGACGACTCAGAGAGCGAGTCCACATTTATAGATGCAGATGATGTCCCGAGTAACCTCTCGGAAGAACCCAATGCAGAGGGTCCTCAGCAAGAAGAGCCTGTTGGACAAGATGGTGCGCAGGAGCCCGACGCACCAGCTCCGATATTAAGAAGATCTTCTCGTCCTCCTGTACCCAACAGGAGATACATGAACTATCTGTTGTTGACAGATGGTGGGGAGCCTGAAAGCTTTGATGAAGCTTGTCAGTGTGGAGATGCGAGCAAGTGGGAGCTTGCAATGAAAGATGAGATGAAGTCTCTCATATCAAACCAGACGTGGGAACTAGCTGAGTTGCCCACGGGTAAGAAGGCACTCCACAACAAATGGGTGTACCGGGTGAAAGAGGAGCAGGATGGTTCCAGAAGATATAAAGCCCGACTGGTTGTCAAAGGTTTCCAGCAGAAGGAAGGAATTGACTACACCGATATTTTCGCTCCCGTGGTGAAGCTAAATACTATCAGGACCGTGATGAGTATTGTAGCAATTGAAGATCTTCATCTCGAGCAGTTAGACGTGAAGACGGCGTTTCTTCACGGAGATCTAGAAGAGGAGATATACATGCACCAGCCAGAAGGTTTCTCAGAAGAAAAGAAGAAGAACCTGGTGTGCAGACTCAAGAAGAGCTTGTATGGCCTGAAACAAGCCCCAAGGCAGTGGTACAGAAAGTTTGACGGCTTTATGCACAAGGAAGGTTTCCAGAAGTGCAACGCCGACCACTGTTGCTACTTCAAGAGTTTGAAGCAGCAACTGTCAAAAGAGTTTGACATGAAGGACTTGGGTCCAGCGAAGAAGATCCTTGGAATGCAAATCACGAGAGACAAGAAGAAAGGGTTCTTGCGGTTGTCTCAGACGGAGTACATTAATCGTGTTTTGTAAAGATTCAACATGGGCAATGCCAAGCCTGTGAGCACACCCTTGGCCAGCCATTTTCGTTTATCGAATGATCAGTCTCCTCAGTCAGAAGAAGAGAAAGAGAGTATGGCTCAGGTTCCTTACGCCTCAGCTATCGGAAGCTTGATGTACGCAATGGTCTGTACGAGACCAGACATTGGCCATGCAGTGAGAGTTGTCAGCCGGTTTATGTCGAATCCAGGAAAAGCTCATTGGGAAGCGGTCAAGTGGATTCTGAGATATCTACGAGGCACCACACAGAAGTGTTTGCACTTTGGTAAGGGAGAGGTAGAAGTGCAAGGGTACGTAGATGCAGACTTTGGAGGTGAAGTTGATCACCGAAGAAGCATCACCGGCTATGTATTCACCGTTGGAACTACAGTTGTTAGTTAGATGTCACAGGTACAGAAGATTGTTACCCTATCCACTACAGAAGCTGAGTACGTTGCAGTGACTGAAGCCAGTAAAGAGATGATATGGCTTCAGGGTTTGTTGACAGAGCTGGGATTCAAACAGGAGAAGAATGTTTTGCACAGTGATAGCCAGAGTGCGATACACTTGGCGAAGAATTCTGCATTTCATTCTAGAACGAAGCATATTGCGCTTCGGTACCACTTCATCAGATCCCTGTTGGAAGATGACGTGTTGAAACTGGAAAAGATTCCAGGAAGTAAGAATCCAGCAGACATGTTAACAAAGACGGTGACAGTTCAGAAACTGGAGTTGTGCGCAACTTCAGTTGGCCTTCATGCATAGATGATGAGGGCGGAGCCACACAGGAGAGGAGCTTGATGAGATAGCCCGTTAATGTCGGTTTGGTCTCCAAGTGGGAGATTGTTAGGTTGGGGGTGGATACCAACCTCCGACGACGATGAGAAGCTCCGACGAGCTCGAGGATGATGCAGGTGAGTGTGGGAGTCGACGGCGAAAGCTTCAGGTGAAGCTCGAACAGGTGGAGCTGCAGGTGAACGCGAGTGTCGACCTCCGCGTGCGAGCTCTCCGACCCCCGCGTTCGAGCGCTCGACCATCGCGTCCAAGGCGTTCGACCATCGCGTTCAGGCCTCCCACCTCCGCGTTCATCGCACCGCTGGCGACAGGCTGTCGCCAGCTTGTCAAATTTTCAGCTATAAAAGAGCCCCCCCAAGCCCTAGGGTTTGTTGCTCTCTCCCCCCGACTTTCTTTCTCTGGCGGCGGTGGCGAAGCCCCTTAACGCAGCAGCGTTCCATCACTCAAATCGCAGCAGCGATTTTAATCCCCAGCTTCGGTTGAGGGGGATTTAAGAAGAGATAAAGAAAAAGATTAGAGAGAGAGAGAGAGAAAAGAAAGAGGGGTTTTATAAGTGGGTTGTTTAATTATTCTCAAGTGAGATTTGAAAGGGGTTTATTCCCTTTAATTATTAACACTGTAGCAACAGTGTTTATTTGAGAAATCTCAGTTTAGGGATTTGCTCTTGATTTGTAATTTCTTATTTGATTAATAAGGAAATTATCTGTGTGGCTCCCGATGACGTAGGCAGTTGCCGAACCTCGTTAAAACTTGGTGTACCTTTTTCTATTCTGCGTTTTCGTTGCATTAGGGATTTCAGCGTTAAATTCCCAACACAGGGTACCTTGGAGATGAGTGGTTTCAACGCCGAATGATGAGATTCAAGAGTTTTTAGCCTGATGGGATGCATGACTCGACTTAGATTGTTCGTGGGTGTGGACTGAGAACATTGATCAGTTTAGTCCAGGAGTTCTCATCTTTTATCGCCATTGTTCACTAGAGATGAATGTTTTCAGACAGGGGAGAGTTGATGGGAAATTTTTAAGATTCTTTCTTGAGAAGGAACCAGTGATGGTTTGCTGGAGTGACTTTGTAACTCATTGAAGGCCAATTGGAAGGTATCCGACAATAAGAAATCTAGTGATTCTATGGAGAACGTCTGTGGTTGCCATTGGAATTCATACTCAGATCGAAGAAGGATAGAGATATCTTCAGGGACATTGTTGAGCTTTGGTGATGTATGGCATCATCGGGAAATGGGGGGAGGGATGACAAGCAGCGAAGGGCTTGCCAGTCAGTGAGGTACTGTTCACATAAAATTTTCTTATGGATTGTTTCAAATAGGTGAAGGATTAGGATCTAGGGATAGGTTTTGTTGAACAGCTATGAATAAAAAAACACTTATGATAAAGGGCTTCACACCAAAGAGAAAATTCACATACCAAAGAACACAAGCACTTCACATGTGCAGAGAATTTTTGCAGTTCAATTTTTGCTTATCAGTGGTCCATCTCTCATGGAAGAATAAAAGAGAACACTAAATCTGAAAAATAAATCAAACACATACCAAATCCTAGTAAAAGAAACAAAACAAAATCAGACGGATGCTAAAAATCCATAATAGATCCTAAGAAAAATCTTCTGACCTACTGCCCATGATTGCCTCGCGTCGATTCGGAATACTAAGAGCAGGAACATTGGTAATTTTCCAGTCCTCTTGTCATTGCTCAGTGCCTATGACCAGAAGTTAATGCATTTTTCAAGTCATGCTAAACAGTTAAGCAGAAGAGTTTTGTTTGCGGTCTGCGATGCGTATATTAAACATTAATTTCCAATAAATTAATCAAGGACTTATAGATACACTTGATTTGAGAGTACCCCCTTTGCTAGAAAGCATACTGCAATTTATCTATTTTATTCATAATTATTTTTCTCATTACTAACTGGTAAATTCTACAAAATGCCCATGCATCGCATGTTGCAGAAGAACTGGATTCCAACAAAGTAAATATCATCGTTAAAAATAACCTAAAAATATCAAAGCTTCTGAATGTCTAGTAAATAAATTCTAATTGGAATGTGCAGGGAACCGGCCACTAACAAGTGGATAATTATTACAGTTCTCTTGCACATTCTGTAACTGTGCAGACAAGTTATCAGTGTACCTAAGATTTCCAGAGTTGGCAAGATTTCCAGAGTTGGCATGCATTCTCACTTCTTCTCAAGTCCTTGGGACTCTTAGGCATCCTAATTATTTTTTTAATCCCAGATGACTACCGAGGAAGCATGAACACAAAAATAACAGAATCATAGGCTGATAATCAACTGGGGAAAGCATATATTTGCAAAAATTGAAAGAAACATGCATCCAGGGGTGGGTATCATAAGCGTAATGTTAGCTTAGAGTGAATGAGAACATTATGATGATCAGATGGTGTACAACTATTGAATAAAACTGGAAAGCCTGGGAAGACATTTATAGGAATATAACCTTAAAGATTCGAAGAGCAGAAAGAGCCTTATTCTCTGGTGTTGCATTGATGTCCCACAAGCATGTTTGACCATGATCTGAACAGCTTAGAAGATGGCCCTTTTTAAAAGGACTCCATGATAAACCATATCCTCCAGAGCCATGGCCCTTCAACCTCAAATCAGGATTGCATGCACCATCGATAGGAGGCTTGGAAGGATGCTTGCTGTAATCAAATATATACACCTCGGCGCTAACTGTCTTTGTTGCAATAAGGAAAGGATTCTGAGGCATGTATCGAGCTCGATTAACTTCTCCATCATGATTTATCTGCTGAATTATTTGCACCTGCCAGAAGTCATTGAAATTTTTTGTTAGACACAGCAGCAAGCAATGCAATAATCATGAATGCAGGTCGTTCCCATCAAAACAGCAAATGGCTATCACTCACTACAGAACTACTATTAAGAATTTTCCGCTTGTGAAACACAATATAAGGTGCTAAAAATGAAACAGAAAAAAGACATAAAGAAGTTTGTCGAATTCTACTTGATAGCAATGTTCTACAAGTGGACAGCTAAGCAAAGTGACTGAGTAGATCAGCAAGTTGTAGTTAAATTACCACTGAACTACATTCTTCAGGCAATCCTGAAACCCTATACTTCACATCTTTTCAAATCAAAATTTAAATACTTTCTATCTTTTCGATTTCTAATTCTTCATTTCTTTTTCTCTCTCAATAAGAACTCCAACATTCTTTGATAGTAGG